CGTATTGCTTTGACAATTTTCTGCAGTTATCATACAAATTTTGTGCTATAGTATTCAAATAAAATAGCACACATTTGTAAATCTATTTGTTTCTGTGCGATAAAATTTAGTCTTCAGATAATGTTTTACGAAAACAAGAATGCCAATTAATATATGATACTAGAGATTTTACGGGAAAAGATATTTCCCAGCATAAAAGAAAGCAGTGGTATAAATTCATAAAACATTTTTCAATACTATCTGATATTTGTGGGCGCCGGGATCCCGCGGATTCTCTTTCGTTCAAACGAAATGGGATAATATTAATCGTCCAAAGTATCGCGCGCAACACGATACGATACGCGCTTGTCCTGGCCCTGAGAGAAATGTGTTTTCAAGGCTAAAGAATAAAAAACAGGTTGGCAAGTTATATCTTGGAATCGATGTTCACGCGGGGGGTAAGCTCATGAACTAAAAGAAGTTATACTAGGTCAAGCATAAAACCACATTTCAAACTCTAATATTGACTGTTTTGACATTCAGAATGTAAAGTAAAATAATTTATAAGCATGCTTTTTGCATAATTAATGTAATAATAAAAAATAAATACTTGTTTATACATTTCAAGAGTTACAAATGAAAATTAAATAGAACTATAATACATATATATATATATATATACATATATATATATATATATATATATTCGTTATATAGTATTATCCGTTTCACTGATACAATTGTAACAATATCGTTTTTTCTTTGATAGTTTTACTTATATTTTTGCTCAATTTATTATATACAAATACAAACATACATATATATATGGACGTATTGTTTAAGGGGGACTAAGTTAGAGTTGAGACTTTTGAATTCGGGGAGAGAATAATCGAATGATATGGATTACTTGTTTTATTTTATATTATTATTTTTAATTAATTACTGGCAGATAAATCACAAAATCACATAAATTTAATTTATTCTTTTCTTAAAGTTGTAAACTGATTCTTCAAATTAGAAAAACTTAAATTCATATATAACTAGCCGTCTTAGATTCTCAGATTTTTCTATAACTTTTATTTATGGCAGTCATCAACTATTTATCGAATTTTACTATTAATTGTCATTACTAACTAATAATATCTATTATTACAAATATTCAATACTTCTAATTAAAACAAGCATTTTTAGTACATCAATATCACATTATTATTTTTTTATGTAATCTATAATATAATGCAAATATATATGCAAGTTTATGGCGTAGCAAAATACAGGATCTTGAATGCAAAAAGCAGTGGTTAATATAACAATGTAATTCGATAAAAGATAATCTTCAATGACAGCAAGTCTTCATTATTTACAAATAAGTAAGTGCAAGCGTATAAAAATGACACCATGAACTTGTGTCATATATAACATGTAGGTATATGTATATATATATATATATATGTATAAGTATAGAATATGGTATGCTTTTCCAACTTTCCACGAGTTTCAAAGCTGCTAAGCTTGTAACAAGTAAAACATGCTAACTGAACTCAGTTGTCTGTCGCAACCATTTCTCAAGAGACGTTTCCTTGCGCGGCATATGCCTTTCCGTAACTATATTTTATTCCTCCAGATCTAATGAGATCTTATCACTTTTTTCGTATAATTCTATTTTTTTTTTCGTCCATCTTTGACTAAAATTAATACAAATCAAAATTATAACAAATCATGGCAATTTTTAAACATTTACTATTATGATTAATACAATATTATAAAATAGAATATAATAGATTTGTTTTGAAAGGAAATAATTGGAATAAATGATAGGATTATAGCAATTGAATTAATTCACAATTAAATCATCGACGTCGCATTGACGTGCCATGAATATTTTATGAAAATTACAAATCCTCTGAGCATTTGCCAGGGCATAAAGGGAGATCTAGTATATTGTATATTGTATTGGTATATTGTATAAAGTAAAAATGATTATGTACATGTATATGTATGATATTAAAAAAAATTTTTTAAGAAAAAGACTTCAAAATATCTAATTCTCACTTTCGATGTACAAAAGATTCGATTATTTTCTTTATTCGCGTTATTTAAAATATACGTTATTTAAAAAGTCCGTATATTAAAAAGTACTTTTTTTTCAATGCTAAAATAAGACTTTAAAATTACATTATTTAATAATCATTATTAAATGTAACAATCAATATTAAATCTTGAAACTCTAAGCTAGTTTCATTGCAAGGTGTTCTTTATATTAAACTTATCTAATAAATCTTCTATAATTACTATAAAATGTTACAACGTTATCGTTACAGACAAGAAAAAGTGACGATATTAACAAATAATGCGTTGCTTTTCAACTCTGAAAAAATCCAATGAATCGTTTCTCTCTATGGATTCAATTCTCTCAAATGGATCCAATTCCAATACTGCAAAAAACTAGTTAAAATAAAGCTTTTCCCCGATTTAATACATATGTGACATACATATTGACACATTAGTCACCAACTCTCTGAGCGATACGAAATGTTTCGTATAGTGTTTATTGACAGGCGTTATGATTTAACTAACGAGCGCGCGGGGTAGAAGGTTCAGACCTCATCTCGATTGTATGTCGCAAACGTGAGTTATTTCCCTGGCTGATGATTTTCAATCACGATAATGCATCAAAGCGATATTATACACGCGTGAGCACGCGAGCAGGCCCATCGTTATTCGCCAGCTCCTGTATATCAGCTCTATGTAATTTACTTCCGAAGCAGTGGCTTGGGTCGTCGAACATATATGCACTATATATATATATATAT